AAAGAAGAAACCACATAACAAACAGGATCCAGAAATGCCACCGCCTTCTCTTGGCCCGAGCTCATTTAAGATGTACTGAGGTGAAATTGAAAAGTGTCCTGTGGTCTGATGAATTAAAATTTTTTGGAACTTATGGACACTGTGTCCTCTGGGCTAAAGACCATCTGCCTTGTCATCAGAGTACAGTTCAAAAGCCAGCATCCATGATGGTATAGGGTTGCATTAATGCACATAGAATGAGTGACTTGCACATTTGTGAATGCACCATTCATGCGGAACAATATATACAGATTTTGGCAACATATGTTGCCATCCAGGTGACATCTTTTCCAGGGAAGGCCTTGCTTATTTCAGCAAGACAATGCTTATTCTCAAACCTCATTCCAAACGTATTTCAACAGCATGGCTCTGTAGTGAAAGGGGCCGGGTGCTAAACTGGCCTGCCTACCGTCGAGAACTGTCACCTGTTGAAAACATTATGAAACAAAATATACAAAAAAGAACCCTGAACTGTTGAGCAGCCAAAATCCTATACCAAGCAAGAATGGGAAAACATTTCACTTTCAAAACTACAGCAATTTACCTCATCAGTTCCCAAATGCTGACAGAGTGTTAAAAGAAGAGGTGATGCAACACAGTGATAAACATGCCTCCGTTACAGCTTTTTGGAATGTTTGCTGGCATCAAATTCAAACTGGGCATATATTTTTCAAAAAAACAATTAAATTTCTCAGTTTCAACATTTGATATGTTGCCTTTGTACTATTTTCAGTTAAATATGTGGTTTAAATAAGTTGCACATCATTGCATTCTATTTTTGTTTACATTTTGCACAGCGTCCCATTTTAGAAATGAAGTTGTATTTATCTTTTAATTTGATGCCATTGCTTCAGGTGATTTTAAATTTATTCTCTTGACTTTTATTTATTTCATTTTTCCCTTATATTGTGGTTACCAAATAGTATCTATTATAGAAGGAATCAAACTCAACTTTAATTTCTTCTATTACTGTTAAATCACCTGTTTGTAAAGTACTTTGAGCTGGCACCAGTACGAAAACTGCTACATATCTAAATATATAATTAATATTATGATGATGAGTATTATTATTATTATTATTATTATTATTATTATTATTTTATTTTATTTTTTTTTATTATTATTATTACTATTATTATGTGCATTCCAAACACTCATGCTTACATCTATAGTATGAAATATTCCAGTCATTCATGCTATCAGCAGTCATGGTATCATGGGTGGATCTCATATATCTAACTGCTGCCTCCTCAATTCCATCTGTCCTACTTCCTCCAGCCCATGACACAGTAACTCTTTTGTACTTTGCTATATTTAAGGACGTATCAATTCTTTAAATAGCAGAGAGAAGAAACAAGCCATCCTGAGTTTTTTATTGCAACTTGTGACTTAGATGTCATTGTATGATTACAGTTAACAGGATGCTACTGCCACAAAAGTATGAAAATAAATTGTTGATGTGGCTGAATTTTAATAAATCATTCTTATGTTAAAAGTCCGTTGATAACAGGATATAAGTGTTTATTATTGGCAGATCCGTGAAAGTTATGATTAAGTGAAGGATGTCTTGTTTGGCAAGTCTGTTTGACATTGATTCCTCTGTCCTCACATCTCCTTGCATCTTTTCCTTGTTTACTCAGAGGGATGAGCTATGTAAGGAAAGGAGACTATTAAAGAAAACAAGGTTGAATGATCAAAGATAAAAGATTAAATTGCTTAAAGGCTAAATAGATTAAAGTTTGTTAATAGATTAAACTAATCTTTAGCCATAGATATTGACTGTTTCATACATATATCTCTCTAATGTTTGATCCCTTGATAACATCTTGGACTAACATTAACTTAGACTCTGACTGACTATACAGTGGGAAATTGCTGAAAGATGCCAGCCACTTAGTGCTACCATTAGTGTGTTTTTTTGCTACTGCTGATTTGTTGCTTGCTTCACTTGAGGTCCATCTACTGGCACACATGCATGCATCACTCAGTAGTGTGTTTGCACATCAAAAACTGTTTCATGGTATCAGAATTCTCTATTGCCAATAGTGTATTGACCTGCCGAAACTGACACCGATCCGGTACCAGTGCAACACCAATTAAAATATAAAACAGTATATGTTTGTTTGGTTTTGGTTGTGATGCTATTTGAACAGTACTTTCATGCCATCAATGCGCTCAACAATCTTAATAACTCAGCTCTGTTTGTGACAACTATTGGATCGCTTTTCTCCACTTCCTTGGGAGGGGTTTCATAATATATTGGTTTGCCATGCAAGTTCCTCACCCAACATCTGGGCCATGCTAAATGAGGTCTCCTTTCCCTCTAAGTAGAGCTAGAGCTGCTGGGAGATGAAACCGTGAAAAAGAAAGAGAGAGAGAGAGAGAGAGAGAGAGAGAGAGAGAGAGAGAGAGAGAGAGAGAGAGAGAGAGAGAGACAGGGAGAGAGGGAACCCAGCAAAGGACTGTCAGGAGGGTTTCCTGTTGCACTATGATTACAGCAACTCTGTAGCCTTACAGTCTGAGGAATATTTACGACACTCCTTAGTTACGGGTGTGTTTTGAATGTATGTCCATGTTTGAGGGCTGGGCCCAAGCCTTTCACTGCCAAAGAGTAATTCCTATCCACTCACTCTGGAAGTAGGAGAAAAGAAGCTAGCAGTAAGATCACCCAACCAGTTGCCCTGGTTAAAACGGACAGCAGCCGCAAAGAACTGTCCCTCAGATGCAGTACAAACACAAACACAAAGCACTAGCCATGTGGAATCAAATATTGGTAAACACGCACAAAGCATGGTTGCTGTGGAGCAGATGTTCTCATTAAAACTGCATGCAGGTATTTTTGTACTTGCTGGTGGTTTGGCACACTCTCCTCTGAAAGTGAACTTGTCAAACAAAACTTCATGTGATTGGCATGCTTCAGGAAATAGCTGTAGGGAGAGAGGGGGAGAAAAAACAACAGTGGATTTTTTTGCTTCCCCATGCATGTTTCCTGTTCTGCACCTGACAAAAGGGAGAGCAGGGGGGGCAGGTGGAGAGAGAGAGAGAGAGAGAGAGAGAAAGTGGACAGGCTGTTGTTTAATGATCTTGTTTTGGATCTCTGTTGCCTCGACAGTCTGGGCCATGGTTAGTGTGACAGCCTGACAGTCTGACACATGCATATAATTCAGTCACTCACACTGTCCTATTAAAGGCTTGATGTGTCCACTGTCAATTTTGTCCACTGCAGTATTCTTTTATAGGCACCTACACATTACACCTACAGGTGCTTTTATGACATCCCATGCTAAATACATACACATTAATATGGAGTTGGTCCCCCCCTTTGCAGCTATAACAGCTTCCACTCTTTTGGGAAGGCTTTCTACAACACTTTGGAGTGTGTCTGTGGGAATTCATCCAGAAGACCATTGGTGAGGTCAGGTACTGATGTTGGCTTACAATCTCCGTTCTAGTTCATCCCAAAGGTGTTCGATGCAAGCAGTCAGGTTTTTCCACACCAAATTCACTCCTCACCCAACCATGTCTGTATGGACCTTGCTTTATGCACTGGGACACAGTCATGCCAGAACAGAAAAGGGGCTTCCCCAAGCTGTTCCTACAAAGTTAAGCATACAATTTGTCCAAAATATCTTGGTATGCTGAGGCATTAGAATTTCTCCTCACTGGAACAAAGAGTCCTAGGCCAACCCCTGAAAAAACAACCTCATAGCATTATCCCTCCTCCACCAAACTTGACACCTGGCACAACGCAGTCAGGCAGGTAACATTCTCCTGGCATTCGCCAAGCCCAGACTCATCCATAAGACTGCCAGATAGAGAAGCGTGATTCGTCCCTCCACAGCAGGGGTGTCTAATTTTGGACCTGGAGATCTACTACCCTGCAGAGTTTAGCTACAACCCTGAGCTAACACACCTGGTCAAGGTAATGAAGACTTTCGGTAGACTCTGATCTAAGAGCCAGATGTGTGTTGCATGTGACCATGTGACTCCAGGACTAGGAATGAGCACCCCTGCTCCACAGAATACATTTCCACTGCTCCAGAGTCCAGTGGGATTGTGTTCTATGAGCAGATGAGAGCAAAATAGAGGTTTTTGGCAACAAACACCAGAGGTGAGTTTGGCATGGACACAAATATAGCCATGCAGAAAAGAACTGTGAGGTATGGTGGTGGATCTGTGATACTGTGGGGCTGTTTTTCTTCCACAGACCCTGAACAATTTATTTGGGTACATAGTATCACAGACTCAATCATGTACCAGCAGAAATAAAATCAAAACCTGACTGCCTCACTCAGCTTAAACTGAGCCATAGTTTAGATCTTCCAGCAGGACAATGACCCAAAGCATGCCTCAAAATCAACACAAAATGGTTCACTGACCACAAAATTAAGGTTTTGCTAAGGCCACCCCAATCTCCTCACATAAACCCCATAGAAAACCTGGGAATGAGCTGAGGACTCCAGTCCACAGTGTGGATCTCAGAACCTGAAGGCTCTGAAGAGGTTCTGTAAGGAGGAATGGTCTCTTATCAAGTGTTTGATCCTTAATCATGTGTTTTCCAGTCTCATTAAGCATTTTAGGAGATAACTCAGAGCTGTTATCTTTGCAAAGAGAGGCTGCACAAAGTATTAGACAAAGGGGTGCCAATAACTGTGGGTTATAACACAGGTTTGGGAAAAATATTTATTTTCTGATAAGATTTAGGTTTTTTAACCATTGAACTAATTAATTAATTAATTAATTAATTAACTAATTATATTTTGTTAATATTTTGAAACATCAACATCAAAAGGAAAAGCTGTTTTTACAGCTTGTTTTGCTCATGTTTACCAGAGGTGCCGATCTGTGTGTGTGTGTGTGTATGTGTGAGCCCACATATTATTTTGCGTATTACTATAGCGCATATCTTCCCAATGAGAAAACCAGAGGAAAGCCATAGGTATTTGGCAGCTAGCTGGAATCTGAGACATGGTTGACTGAGGAGCTAGTCGACAGATTCGATAGGATCAGAATGCCCGAACATTAGGAAAGGCCATCTGGAATTCAGTTATTTTCACCCCTCTGGGTCGCGTGGCAGAACCTCGCCTCTCCGGGCTACACCCCGTTTTGCTGCTACTTAAGCGGCTTCTCTACGGCAAACACAGGCGCGCAAATCCGAAAAGGAACACAAAGCAGCAGCAGCCCACGCGCTTTCCACGCCTCTAAACATGTCTGCGAAAACATTCGCCGCTTCCTGCCTTTTTCTGCTGCTAACTCACATGGTAAGCAATCGAAAGTACTTCTGTTCGTCAAAAAGTACCCGCACGCTCTGGAACCTTTCTGCATTGGACAAACTCGTCTAAAGCCTGTGTAACTGCATACTTCTTCATAAGCTACAGTGTTAAGTGTTGTGACGATGTGTTGAATCAGAGTAATACCATGTAATAAAGTAATCCAGAATGGAGTGAATTTATATAATGAATGCTAGTCAAGTAATAAAGTGGGTATGTTGGCAGTGCTGTGTAATGGTGGAGTGCTTGCCATGCAGGGATAGTTTAACGTGTAGTGAAAACTGCTTCAAAGTTTGGTATTACAGAAACAATTTTTCATTAAGTTAATTGACTTTTTTTTATATTGATAATAAATTATCAACACTTTTATCTGCTTTTTAGAACGCAGGGCATTAGCTAAAAATTGCTTTACATCATGGCTCCACCAAAAATGCTTGGACAGGTTTGCATTGTAGTTTGCACTTCTGTTTAGTGACCAAGTATTCCTCATTTCAAGATCAAGTCTGACGCAACATATCAGTTCTAACATTTCTCAGTAGACTAAAATTATCAAGCTTGTCAGGGGTTGTGTTAGGTGTGTTTAAGCAGGTAAAATACTACTTTGTGCAGTGGCGTAACTGGACCCTACTTAGGATTGTCAGTGCTGTTTTGATTGTCTCCATCCTGTGGCCATGATGAGTATTGCAGAAACTCACCTGATGCAAGATCTCTCTCGATTCTGGTTTTGCATTTATTCCTGGATCCAGTACGACATTCCTGTCAAAAACAGATAAGTGACTGTGACTGTTTGCAGTGAATCTTGACCCTCATATTGCTCTCAACAAAAGTGGAAAGCTCTTCAGTTCAAGTGTGTAATATATGACCAAAGTTAGCCTTGAGGAACTATGAAGTTAAGGGTAGCTCATCTGAGTATTTCTCAAATATAAAGTATCACAGCTGTAGCTTGTGAGGTAACTTTTATTTTAGTGCATTTTTTATTTGGGAAAACAGAAAAATCCACCAAAAAGCATTACAAATCGCTGGAAATGCTCCCTCATTTGCTACTCTAGTTCTTCCTAATTTTTCTTATTCAGGTGGTGGGTGAAGACTGTTCCAAGGCCTGTGACTGTCCTGCAGAGACACCATTTTGCCTGTTTGGGACCAGCCTGGTGCTGGACAGCTGTGGTTGCTGTAAAGTGTGTGCCCGGCAAGTGGGAGAACCTTGCTCTCTCCTGGAGCCCTGTGACCACCATAAGGACCTTTACTGTGACTATGCATTGCTGAGTGACACAGAAACTGGCATCTGCATGGGTGAGTGGGCCGTTGCATGACTAAATTGTGTGTTGCGTCATAAAAAGCGTCTTTATTATTGAAACATGACATTACTTCAGTTGTGGTAAAGGACAGAGGTGTTTCCAGGCAGAATGTTAGAAGTGGATCTTTTCGCCACTGGGAGCTCTTTGTTACTACAAAACCAGTGCGCTTAAGTATGTATCCACAGACCCCTACCGTTCATTCATAACTTTTAGGATTTTTAGGGGTGGGAAGTGTGTTGTTGGAGGGGTCTGTTTTTGACAAGCAAATAAACAATAACTCCTCTCTAAACCACCAAGAAGAGTGTTTCTTAATAAAGCTTCTGGGACCCACTGCCCTGGACCTATGACTCAGTTAATAAGCTGGATCAGGTGGATTGGGGTTGGGAACAGTTGAAAACTGCGCATGGTGGCAGGTCTTCAGGAACAGAATTAAGAAACACTGGCCCAGAGCATGAAGAGCAAACAAAAATTCAAAACAAGTCCTGATGACTAATCAAATCTCCCCATTTACAGTGGTCTCTCTTCCTTTTCCTATGGTAGCTCAGGAAGGTCAGATCTGTGATCTGGGTGGAGTGATCTACCGCAGTGGAGAGACATTTCAACCGAGCTGCAAGCACCAGTGCGTCTGCATGAATGGCGAAATCGGCTGTGTGCCAACCTGTGCCAGCGACATTCGCCTGCCTTCTCCAAACTGCCCATACCCACGACGTATCCAGATCCCTGGCAAGTGCTGCGAGGAGTGGATGTGTGACAAGACCCCCCACGAAGATCCCTTCCAGTCAGCCATGGCTGGTAGGTCCCTTGGCAAGTCATTTTTATTATCTATTTTTGGAGACTTAGACATACATTGCTGTATTATGTAATGCTAGAGGTTGCAGCTGGTATATCTGTAGTTTCGCAGAGCCAGATGTGACAAGAATACACTCTTGGGTACAACTTAACTCCTAAAAAACATGGTTCTTCAAGGATTCTTTCATAAAGGGAATGGTTCTATTTAGAACCATGAGTTCCATATAGAACCATTTCATGCTTAAATGGTTCTTTGCATGGTGAAATGGTTCTACAGATTGATGGAGAATGTGTTGTATATGGTTGTATATACTAGAACATTTTTGAAAATGGTTCTGTATAGCACCAAAAAGGGCTCTTCTATTGTTACAATGTCAAGCTTGTAACAATAGAACACTTTTTGGTGCTGTATAGAACCATTCTCAAAAAGTGTTATATGTAGAAAAATATACTACATTTTCTGTTGTTAAATTCTTAATACTGAACATCCAGTACTAAGAGGGCTACACCCCCTCTACATCTGCTCCCAAATTCCTCTAGTCCATGCTCTTTTATTATCTAGTGTGCAACTGAGAACACAAGCAAAACAAACTAGCTACAGAAACGCTACTATTAGCTAACAAAACTGTTTTCCCCCTGCAAGAGCCAATGTTTGTTTTTACTGCATGTGATGTAATTACATGCAAGACTCTAGGGCTAGGCAACACAACAATATTTATTGTTATGATAAATTACGTCACAGTGTTTTTCTGAGTGTATCTTGAATATTGTCAGTACTTCAGGAACAGTGATCGACTACAACACAATATGTGAAATGTTCAATAAAAATGATTTATACTAGTTTTTGACTGTGTTTTTAAATGTGGCACTATGGGTTCTTTTTTGTTTCTTCCATTATATCAGTTGTGAGAAAAAATAAATATTGAAATATCATGTATCATGAAAATTCGATGAAGTATTGTGATGTAATGTTTTTGCCATATTGATCACAGAAATGCATATTTGGACAGTCCTACTTTCCTCTTTCACCTCTCAGTGTATCGGAAACTGCAGAACCCAGAGCCTGAGAGTGCTCGGGACAACTGCATCGTGCAGACCACGGAGTGGAGTGAGTGTTCGGCCACCTGTGGTATGGGCATGTCCTCTCGCGTTACCAACGACAACGAGCAGTGTCAGCTGGAGCGCCAGACTCGCGTCTGCATGATCCGGCCATGCCAAGTCCAGCAAGAGAACATCATCAAGGTCAGCAGACTAAGCATGATTTGTCAAAAAAAGATGTAATTATGATAAATTGGAGATGTGGGTATAAATTGGAGATGTGGATTATACTCAAGTAAAAGTATTGTTACTTCAATCAAAATATGACTCAAGTAAGGAAAAATACCTTTCTAAACAACAACTTGAGTTGACGTTTAAAAGTAACAGGTACCTGTTGTACATGTAAAACTGTAGTAGAACGTCTTCAATACATCTACCTTTTTTTAGCATAGTTGCTAAACCAGTCACTAGTTGTCTCTTTTTAATGTAATCTTGGTCTAAAACAGTGTATTATTAAATAAACCTCAAAAGTCAGAGATATGAGCAACAGCAAAGTCCAGGTGCTAAATCAAGAGAACAGATTGAAATTAAATGCAAAAAAGTACATTTTCATGATTAAAATGTAACTAAGTAAAAACTAGATTACTCACTAATATACTAGAGCAGAAGTAAAAGTATTATTATTATTTAAAAAAAAAAAAAAACTTAGAACAGTACAAATCCATCAACATTTTACTTTAGTACATGTAACTGAGTAATTGTAACTGCCACCTCTGATAAAATGATCAGCCACTTAAACATTCCTATGGAAAAATTTTAATATTTACTAGCCTTTTCTCGACATTCCAATTTTCCTCTTTGCAGAAAGGCAAAAAGTGTGTGCGGACTCCAAGGAGTCAGCAGGGTATGCGCTTTGAGTTGTCTGGCTGTCAGAGCACGCGGATTTATAAGCCCAAGTTCTGCGGAGTGTGTACAGATGGGCGCTGCTGCACTCCGCAAAACACCATGACCGCTGAGGTGGAATTCCGCTGCCCTGAGGGAGACTCCTTTAAGAGGAAGATGATGTTCATTAGAACCTGCTCCTGCCACTATGACTGCCCACGTGGAAATGACATCTTCCTTGCTTCAAACTCATGGAAAATGACTGGAGACTATGATAATGACATGTGAAAGGCTGCCAGATGGTGTAGACATACAGAGAAAAAAGATGGAAAAAAGCACATGCTCACACACTCCCTGATGATCTAATACAGCGGCGCACAACTCCTGTGTCCAGCACAGTTTGGTGTTTTACCCACTCTCACACTCCTGATTACACTTACCTGTTAATTGAAAGGTACAGCAGTGTTTGAGTAGGGAAACCTCCAACCTGTGTTTAGGACTGGAGTTGTGCACTCCTGATCTAGTACATGCATTTACAAGGCAGCTCTCTTTTTTTTCCCCCAGACCCCAAGTTTCACAATTGCCCTAGGGAGCATGAACAAAAGAATGTTTTATATAAAGGGGAGCCTAACTTGATGCCATAACCAATTTTGTTGCATTTCTTTTGTGCTCAGAAGTAATCTGGCTCTTTTAGTGGTTTTCCCCCTATGTTGATGCATGCATGGGCTAGAGTGGACCTGAAGCACTGAGGACTATATATTAAAGCATTTTGGAAGTACAGTTCACATTTAGTTCCAAAATTTGTTACTGAGAGGAACGTATCACAAATCTTACCATGTACCATTAATCACAAGTGAACCTAACTAAATTAGTAAACTATATTCATCCCAAGAGTTGTTGGTGAGAAACTAATCCATTTTAAATGGGACGAAATCACATACAGTATATGGTATTGTTTACTGTTTATTTAAAGAAAATAAATGGAAACATTAAAAGAATGACGAATGCACATTGTGTAAATACTGTAAGAAGACTCTGTACAGTTTTGTACTAATTTAAACAGTTGCTTAACTTTAAAATTTTGTTGTATTTGTACTGTATTATTGTTTTCACTGTAACCACCTGAGATAGAAGTGAGTTGAATTTCCAATGCACTTTCATTTTTTTCCAATAAAGAAATTATATTTTTATATATATGTGATGTGATACACCGTATTTTGTCTTGTCTTTGTTTCAGTGGAAGCTACCAATGTATTTACTGATGCTACTAATATATTTATTTAAAGAGCTTCCTTGTGTAAATTTCTTAGCCGAGTATGAGACAAGTTTTATAGTCTGGATTGTCCTCTTAAAGAAAATGTTTAACGATATTTTTCTGAAAGAGACAACTCCTAATCCTGTGTAAGAATTGCTAAAATGTCTAAGAATCTGCTTATACTGAAAATTCACTGGTCTCAGTGACATATACCTTAATACCACTCTCTTTTTTCAAAAGACAATTCGACTTTAGTTTTTCACTTGCAAGGATTCAACGATGAGCCAATGTTTGGATGAAAGTGATTTTTGGATGATACAGACTCTCATATGAGAAAACTGCTGTGAAACCCAAAGAGAGAAGGTGCCTAATTTAGAAACCTGCCTCAAGCTGAGGAAACTTATGCTGCAATTCCTCTCTTATCAGCAGGGTTGGCCCACAGACAGGCAGCCATTTCTAGCTAATCCACTGAGTGGTTGTATCTCCGCAGTTCAAGAAGTATTATCTCATAATGATTACCAGTAGGGGTGGTCCCCCACAAAAATCTTAGCAAACCTTTTATTCTTTGGGAATATATATAAAATGTGCTTGTGCGAGAGGTTTTTGCATTTCCACAATCTCTCATTAGTGTAGGTGATGCATTGTCTATACTGGTATAGTCGTATTGATGTCACATGCCACACAACAATACTGATTTTTGGTTTTGGTGATTCTGATAAAAAATAATTGCAATGTACGATGAGTGAGTGTTTTTTATTGTTATGAAAAGGGAGATAGATAAAATGCATAGAAATTGAATAAATAGTAAGTTTCCTTCTGCCAGTTCAACATCTGTCTGCTTAAAATTTATAACAAGTTCTTTTTGGTGAATATTGTGATCCTTAATTTTATTTTATGCACCCAGCACCTCTCAGAATAGCAAGCAGTTGAAAAAGTCTTATTCTTTCACTCTGTGGCATGCTGCATCTAATGCATTAGTCACAAAGTTTGATACAGTGACACCTGACATGACGTTAGATGTGTCCCAAACATAACAACCATAATTTAAACTCTACACTGGTTGCCAGTTAAATTTCGCATCAATTACAAAATTCTTTTACTGACCTATGAAGTTCTAAACTTCTCTCATACTATGAACCATCACGCCTACTTAGATCACAAGGTGCTGGCTTACTATTATTACCTACAATTAATAAAGTTACATCAGGGGGGAGAGCCTTCTCATACAAAGCCCCCCCAACTTTGGAATAATCTTCCAGTCAGTGTTTGGGACTCAGACACAGCCTCAGTCTTTAAGTCTAGGCTAAAAACTTACTTGTTTAGTCAAGCTTTTGGTAATTAGTTTTCCCTGTTAGATAAAAGGTGCAGATCTTGAGGTTCATGGACATAGAGTATTATGGTAAACTGGGAGTGTTGGTGCTGTCGTCCCACTGCTCTCACATGTTCACTCAAGTTTGCTCACGGTGGAGCGGAGGGGCGCTGACATCTCAGGGAGCCCTCATGTCTCTGTTACCTTTCTGGTTTCTCTTTTTTAGTTAGGCTGTAATAACTAGACCTGCCGGAGTCTGTGCTGCACTCTGTTAATACTGTAATCTGTGATCAGTCATCCATTACCGAACTGACTCTCTGTGTGTATTCCTTTTCTTTGCCGAGTTGAACAGCTGCCCATCCTGTGCGTCTGATGCTTTTGCTTCTTCTGCCTTGATCGGGTGTCCACTGCTCACCTGTCTTCTGGACCGGTTTGACCACCATTGAGCTTCATGCTGTACAACGCTGTGCAAACGTCACCCTCATGAACTGACCCTCCTGATGCTGCTGCAACAGCACCTGTTGTAAAAAGCACTATATAAATAAACTAGTAACACTTTACAATACTGTTTTGTAGTTAATAACTAACTAATCAGGAACTAAGCAGGAACAAACGAGTAGTGCTGCATTAACATCTCCTGATGTATAATGAGTGAATCAGACTCATGGCAGACCCCTGGGCCGCTAATGTGAGACTTTGATTCAGATTCAAGGTTTTATTCAGAGTGTAGCACTAATGTTGAGACACAGTTAGCTGACTTGCTAACCAATCTCAGCTAAGTAGGTTCAGTCTTCTTGTACAATGTCTGTTTTACTGTGTTGCTTCAGAATTATAAGCACATGTTAGTGCTTTATTAAATGTAAAGCTGCTGCTTATGTTCTGTTATGAGTGAATGCTAATAGGCAGTAAAACTTTGTGCCTCAGATATGATGTGTAATTAATGTACTAGCAGAACATACTGTGATCAGTGTCAGCTCTCAGACTTTCTCCTACAGTAGTAATGACAGATTTTGATTTCATTTTGTTTGAGTCTATTATTTTCAATGATATAGCTAGATAACTCAGGGATGTTGTCACATTTGGACTGTTCACAAATAAAAAAGGACTAAATACTTATTTACCCTTACTTTTTTTCAAATTTCTTTATGAATATTTTTTGTACTGCAGTACATTCTTTAGGGTTTTTATTTTTGAATGTATATCACTTTATAATACTGGTCCTGATTTTCATTGACTCCTAGTTCATTAATGATGAGTTACTATTTGTTTCACTTTATAATACTGTTCCTTATCATCATTAACTCTTAATTCAATAATAGTGAGTTACTATGTGTTTCACTTTATACTTTTCCTGATCATCATTAACTCTTAGTTCATTAATAATGAGTTACCATGTGTTTCACTTTATATTGTTCCTGATCATCATTAGCTACTCATGAAAAACAGTAACACCTCATTCATTATCTAACAGACAGTAATTACATAATCACTTGGTAATATTTAGAACCAAGTGAATTTGAAGGCAGGGCACAGTCAGATATTTCTGTGAGCCCTCTCTTCAACTGACCCTGCCCTCAAGAGGACTTTAAAGGAGAACTACTGTTCAGAAGAAACACTGGCAAAAATGGTGTTTTCTTTTCTAAAGATGAGAGGTAAGCAGACTGGCCTACAGAATCCTATATTATTTTAGCAGTTGCCCCATTTGTGGGCTTCACACTGCCAAATATGAAGATGTGCATTAGCCTAGGTTTCTGATCAAAACAAACACATGAGGGACATCAGTCAGTACAGTGTGGTGTGATGCCCCCAGCCTTCTCTGAGAATACCTGTTTCTGTGAATAGAAATGGAGGATATAATCCATTATATTGTACAGACTGCACACTGTGTATGTATTTCACTATTATTAGAAGTGTTGGAATACACTACATCAGTTAGCAGTTCACCAGGTATCTTGTAAGACTCAGCTATTAAGCAATTAATGTTGAATTGATCAGTAATTTATGAGTAGTTATTCTAAGGAACCGTATTTACTAAGTAATTCTCTGTAAGACTCAGTAGTTATTGTTTAGTAATAGTAATAGTGATAATGAACTACACTAATCATTAGTTCATTATAACCTACTGAGTAGTTAACTAGCAGTCCTTGGTAGTTAAGAGTAGTTACTTAAGTGTTAATGCAGCACTACTCATTTGTTCCTGCTTAGCTCTTGATTAGTTAGTTATTAACTACGAAACAGTATTGTAAGGTGGTACCAATAAACTTTGACTTTGACTTTGTCAGAGTGTACCCCATCAAGAACATACCCCATGTTCAATGAAATAGAGTAAAAATATCTCACATATCATGCCACATTAATCATTATATATTCAAACAGCATAAATATAGATTCAAGAAATTGTTGTATTTTTACTGCTATGGATGTCTTGAACATGAGGAGTTCTTTCATGAAAGATGGTATATACAGGTAATGGTGTATTTAGATCCAAAATAAACAATAGGATTCAGAAGAGAGTGATGCTCTTAGCATAGACTTTGGACAGAAACCATGTCTGTTGGTGTGTGAGGGGACGGTCTAAAAATTAGTCACCCTGAGAACTGCCTAACTAACACAATGGTGCATTGATAAAAAAACAGGTTGTGATGGTTATGGTTGAGGCATGTACACAAGTTGTACAGGGCTGAGAAACATTAGTCTATGTATGAAACGTCCTTTTGTACTAAAAGAAGTAGCGCCATCTGCTGGTCAAAGATTCAGCTGCCATGTACTTGTCAAACCTCATGCATGTCATTGAGGGGGGAAAAGCATCTCATGAATGTTATCAAAAGGAAATCATATTTGCCTAAGAAAGATGTTTAATGTACCACATCAGTGTTACTGCAGTGCTGAGAATGATACACCATCCGAATAGTACCTGAGGGTCCATGGGGGTCCTGACCACTGAAGAACAGTGTAAAAGGGGGCTAACAAAGTATGTAGAGAAACAGATGGACTACAGTCTGTAATTGTAGAACTACAAAGTGCACCTAGTAAGTAGAGCTGAAAAAATGGATAATGAGCATAGAAACAAGGAGGTGGTCATAATGTTATGCTTGATCAGTGTAAATTATAGGCTTTGTCCGTACACAATGGTCTCTTCAAACGTACAGTGTGAGTCAATAAAGAGCAATAATGTCTTGCTTTAGAAGACATTCAGCTATGGCTGTGGCCGTTCTAAAAACTTTGACAGGCCATCATTTGTATTCTGTCTTTTAAAAGGCCTGTATTGGTTCAAAGGCTTCATACACTCTCAGAAAAAATGGTACAAAACTCTTGTCACTGGGGTGGTACCCTCAAGGGTACATCTCAGTACCTTTAGTCAGGGAACATAATTGCACTATAATCCATTGAAATGATATTTTCTAAGTTGTATTGACTCCATACACCCCATCTCATCTCCAGGCTTTTTATTTTATTGATCCGTTTTAAAACATTAGGTTATGAAAAGGTACAAATACATACTTTTCACCTGGAAAAACTTATTTAAGGTGCAGAATTGGACCTTAAAACCACTGTTGTACCTCTGAAGGTACATTTACATTGTTTGTACCTTGATGAACGAAAAATGTACCTGCACAGTACCTTTATTTCTAACAGTGTATTAGTGGGTTGTGTTTGGACTTCAATGATCACTGTTTACAACGTAAGATGTTCCCTAAAGTCTCAGTGGTTTCAGCAGTCCAAATCACCATGTTCTACAAGATAAAAAGGCATCAGTTTCACACAAAAACTATGTGAGAGCTGACTGACATTGTTACAAATAATGATATTTTACATGTATTGAGGAAAGAAATCACACATTCGAAAATGAAACCAGCTTTTTTGCTAACAAGACTTTGCTTTCTTTTCATGTTTCACAACTGTTTATGTTATCCTACTTCAGCTTTAAAATCTGGAAAGTTAACACTGACAAAAAGTTTCATTTATAGCTAGTCAAAAAGTAGAAAAGAATAAAGATAGAGTTTACTTCCGGTTTGCTGCTGTAGAATCTGGCGACATAGAAAACCAGGGTAAACACCTTCAAAAATCTATGGGAAAATGCTGTAGACGTTAGTTCTGCCAATAAAATTAAAATACTTACTAAAATTTCTATAGAAAATTTCTATGGCTGAATACAAGACTGTGAACTGCTCCTGGGTGGGTGATTTTTCAGAAGTGTCCACTGGCAGCAGGACCCTTCCCAAAATATTAAACGCTTCACATATACATAAATCATATCACATATCTATCAATAAAACCACAAATTTTGACAAAAGACGACATGTTTGCGTGTATGTGGCATAATATGTAATCCTGGTATAATCACTCTATTTTTATAAGGTACGTGTAATCTGATTTCTGTCTATTTTACTGTAAATACAAATCAGTGTTGTCAAACAACTCTGGACTTGTTCTTGGTCTCAGGGTAAGGTTGACTCAGACATTGCTGTCGAGACCAGCTGAGTGCGACACCTCTATTTGAGGTAACTGTAAGCTGAATTATTATTGAATATCAACAAAAATCAAATAAACACAATAAAACAGCAAGGGTTCTCAAACATGTGCAACTCACGGCCCACACAAACAACTACAAATGCTTCCGCAGATTTAAGTGATCAGATCGTCTTTTTATGACTCAGCTATAAAAGAGCTGACTTGGCAGCTGCAGCATGCAGGATGTCAGGCTGAAGAGAGGAAAGGTACGTAAACATAGGTTCATATTCACTGTGTTTAGTCTCCAAGAGACAGTGTAAACTGTTTGGTTTTAAAGCTTATTTTAAGTCCTCTATGCAAACAGCACACAGTGGTAGTTACTTATTTTCAGTTCTCACATACATGAAGCCCAGCACAAACCACTGCAGTATTTCCTTTATTTTGTTTTCTATTTTGCTTTGATTTTTCTATTTGCTGATATCCTTTTCTGCTTCTGAAATCTTTCTTTTGTATCTGACTTTTGGTACATTTTCATGGGGCAGGTCTTAGAGGAGAGTGTTCACCTACACTACTGCTTAACTGAGTTGGAATGACCGGTCTTCTGACACGTAGCCACTCAGTGTGAACTGCTCTAACATAGTGTAATACTGATTGCTGCTTTGGGTGCAGTATTGTAGTGGCAGTGGCACATCTGACATTGTGATCAGTTCCTTTAAAATTATGTTATAAGGTTCCTCTTATTTTACGCATTGAAGAACACAAACTTATTTGTTAA